TGTTTACATGTGTGGTCAATATATAGTTTGGTAAATAGTGGTAATTAAGCGAATTTAGCGAGCGACAAATTTACTTAATCTGCATCTACAAAAATATTAAAATGTTGGGCAGTTCTAAAATTTTCTTAGCGCAAGCTCTGTATATAATATAATGTGTAAGTATTAGGGAGCTACTAAATAAGACACTTACCAGTTACCATGGGCATGTTCTATACTCTATTGACGTTTGATTTTGTTGTTATGAGCGCAATAACATGTAATCCTTTACGAAACTCGGAATCTTCAAAAAATGTTCAGAATACGTCTGCAATTTTTGAAACGTTAAATACTTTTGATGTCTTGAACACTATTCAATTTATGTGTAGAAGAAACGAATCAAAAACAGGTATAAAAAAGTTGATGTACTATTGTAAAGAGTTAATAAAAGAAAAGGATAATTATTTATCATTGGAAAATTTTATAGACATAAAAATTAACGATATACGATCTGGTCTGGTAAAATTATTAAATTTAGAAAATAAAGCGATTGTTTGTAAAAGTTTAAGGCATTTGTTACCTATAATTATGTATGGAATATTTATTAATGACATAAATGGATCGACAGAGAACGGAAACAGTAGAATGGATATGACTGACGAGTTATTTAAAAAAAAGTCGGATTTTTTGAACAATAAAAATTCAAGCATTGAAGAAAAACTTCAACAATTAAAAACAACAACGACGAAAATCGGCAGAACCAACAAAAAGCTATTAATCAAAATACCAGAACATAGCAAGGAAGAATTTTCAGAAATAAGCAGTAGTTTATTGAAAAATGTCGAAACAACAGTTCAGCTCATTTTACCTTTTATCCAAGAACTTGATTGTTTTCATAATTTATATAAGATAGACAAAGTGATGACTACTAATAAGTTTGATCGTAACATTTTGTTGTTATTAATTCTTGATGAAATGAAGAATATGTACAAGACAGAGTGTTACGTCGACGTCGACGAAGCGAAAATCTTTCAGAACGGAGATAGAAGTTGGATATTCGAGTCCAAGTACGATTCGACACCCTTGCAGATTGTCAGAGAAATCAATAGGATGTTCGTGGCTATACAGAATGATTTGCAATCGTTGTTTGTAAAATTTGTTTTCGTAAACAATCCTAAGAGGTTCCTGAGGCAGTCTCCGAACGTGTCGTTTGTGTTCTACCATACGTTCAACAAGTATTACGATCCCGACGTTTGGAAATCGATTGGCGACGAAACCATAATAGATTACGTATCTGACTCCGCCAAACCAATAACGACGTCGATCGATAAAGTCGCATCGAATCTATTAAAAACAATCCAAGGGATCACGGACGGACTTGCCGCATTTGTAAAAAATAGCGTTAGGTGTCGGTGTTGTGCGTACTTAAATCTTATGATAAAACTGAACTACTGTAGCATGAGCGTGTTAGCGACAAACGTGTGGGAAGTTCGACGGTTGACTGTAAACGAGCAGGAAATCCGAAGGTTGATGGTCAAAGAGTTGCAGCAATTCGAACAGGACAAAATTTACAGCTTACTCCACGATAAAATAAAAAAACTTGGGATAACCAAGTGTTTTATCGGTAATGACATCGGTACAATTGCTGAGTTACTGGATAAAGACAATGATGATAAATTTTTTCGAAGCATCTACGCCATCTACTGGAACCAGAATGCTCAATCAATCGCTAAGGCGATCGAAATTATATGGAATTATACGTCAAGTGTGGGCTTTATGGTGGAATTTGGTTCTATGTTATTAGATATCCATCAGATTCAGATCCATTGCGAGTCTGGTATGAAATTTGTCGAGAATCTGGTTAAATGGTACAAATGGAGTGAGCGGGCGTACAAGGATCACTGTTTCCGAGATGAGTATGGTGAAAATTTGTCTACTTTTAGCGAGAACATGAAATTGTCATTGAAAGCCATGACCGATAATCCTGAGATGAGATTAACTCTAGAATGGATAATGAAGATGACTTACACTCTTAATGACGATTTGGTAGATGATTTAATGATGGTCCATAAAAACTTTTAATAATGGGCAATATTGATAATAACGAAATGTATTAAACTGAAAACATTTACGAAAATGACACCTCATACCAACAATAATAATGGTTAGTGTTACTACTAGAAACACTTGGACAAAAGGTATTTTAGGGATTATCATCTGTCCATATTATATAAAATGTGTTAATTATTAAAAGGAAAAAAGATGTCTCTTAGTTTATGACTTATTTCGTATTACATAATTTAATCATTTTATTATGTTAACAATATATTATTGATATTATCCAATAATTAAATATAAAGATATTCAATAAATTTTGCTAATTTCATTTTTTGTAGTTTTTATTCAAGAAAATCTTGAATAATTTTGAAATTTGTTTTCACTTTTATATCAAGTTCAGCTACCAATCTTTGAAAGTAGATTCAGGACAGCGGCTATAAGAATTACATATATTTTTTTGAAAAATTTTAGTAATCAGAAGATTAAAAGTACAAAAAAAAGTTAATAAAATTCAGTATAACATATTACAATAGTTACTAATAACAAGGTAGAAAATATTGGTATATTAATATTCTTTTTTTTCTCTTTATCTCACACAAGTAGGTTAATTTTTTCTATTTTTATACAGACATACCTATTATAAAAACTATGTTTTCAAATTTGATATTAATACGAGTACAATTAATTTTATCATTGGTAATTCTGTTTTATATTTGTAAGGGAAGCAATGAATACATAAATATATATTTTAATACATCATTAATTTAAAAAAAAGTTAAACTATTCATAATAAAGTTTAAAGTATAACACAATTATTCTGTTTTAGAAAAACTATCAATATTAATAATAATATGATATAGTATAACATTATCACCTTAATTAATGTTATACTTCAAAAAACTTAATAAATTTAATTCAATTAACATAATAAAATAAAATAAATACAAAACTATGTGTTGACAAATTATATTTAAGTAGAGTAATAATTTTAAAGTAATAAATCTTTGAACGGCGGTGTTTTAGTTATGTTTTTTGAGGATCGTAATTTACGTTTTAAGTTATTATAATGATGAGTATTTTCTTGATCAAAGCGTTCAATGTTTACATGAAGTACTTGATCTAACTCTGTAATTTTGTTCACACATTTATTTATCACATTTACATTACCACTTTTTAACTGTAATTTTAATGGTGTTTTATTGTAACATTTTTCTATTTGTCCAACATCATTTTTAAATACTTTTATGGGGTGTGAAATATTTTGGTTTTGGTGATGTACATTTAGATTTATTCTAGATATATTTCTTTGAGATATGGATGATTCATACATATTTTTGGTTTGGTTTTCCATAATATTTTGTGAGTATTGTTTGTGCTCATTAACACTAGAATTTGTATTTAATTTTTTATGTTCAACTTCCATAACATTCATAGATCGAAGAGTTCTTGTAAAAGTACTTCTTAAAGGCTTATTAGGCTTCATATATACATAATAGGACTTTTTCCTTTTTACTTTAGGAAGATTTGTAATAATATTACAAATTGCTTTATGTAAACATCTAATATTTATGTTATTACTATATTGAGTAATATCAGCCAATGAATACCAATTGTCAATATTATCACATATTGTATTCCATTTTCCTGAGCCAAAAACTCCTGATGGAAAAGGTTCATGTGGAATTGTTTTATGGAGATTCTGTAAAACAAAAATTAAATTAATTTTTTTTAGTTAATCTAAAAATATAGTAGTGCATACAAATTTTTTAGTAATTAATTTTATCAAATAATTTAAAAATAATTAAAATATATTATAAAGCCAACTTACATGCTCTACTGATAAGTTTGTAGATAGATTATGTACATTTTCAAAGTCTTCTCTATATAATTTATTGCTACCAAAATACCAATATACTGATTTATTTAGGTCAAAACCTAGTGGTTTTACATTTAACATGTGCCACATTTTAGGTTTATTAGATATTTTATTTTGAATATGCTTAACATCAAGAACCAAATGACAATAGATGTATAGAGCTTCGACTTTTTGTTTACGAGTTAAATAATCAAAATGTGTGGCTGAATCTAGTGAATATTTAAAGTTGTAAAGCTGAAAAATATATAAAATACATAATTACAAGTTTACACCTTTTACAAGTTTATAATAACCAGGGTTTGAAACTTAAAACACTAAACTATTTATTTCTATTTGTTTGTATTCAAAACAATTCATAATATTATTAATAACAAATTCAATTTCAAAAGTGGATAAACTTGTAATTTACAAGTAATTATCTAATAATAAGAAATATATAATTACTGCTTGCTTTCATTATATGTATATTTATAGAATAATTTAAAGGTTTAAAATATATATTTGTTTTCAAAATAAAAAATCACAACATTTGAGAAAGATAAAAAAAAATTAAGTTTTCAACAAAAATGTTAGATTATCTTATCAAAAAAGTACAAACTAAAAATATATAAAGAAGCGTATAAAATTCCACATTATAATACTCAATGGTTTGAAACAATTTTGTTTATTAATGTTTTAAAATTAATAACATATTAATATAAGCTTGAACTTACTATGCATTTATTTTTAAATTTTTTTTTCATCACATTCCACCATTCGTCTGTGCTCGGGTCATAAAAACCACAAATTTTGGTAAACCGGATTGCCATATCAGTTAATAAATATGAATTCTCTTCAATTGCATTTTCAAATTCCTATACAATTTTTTTTCAATAATAAGTACATTTTTAATAATAGACATTATAGTCCATCGTGTTTATTTGATTATTATTATAAACATATTCCATGGATTTAGAGTGAATTAATTTCTTTTTGTTTAGCAAAACAACTTAGCTAATAAAAATATGATATATCACATGAATTAGAAATATGAATTCATAATACAGCTATAAAGTATAGATATTTGTAATAAAATAATGAAGTACAATAATTAGGTAATTAGAAAAATCAATAATTGTAACTAAGTAATAAATTAATATAATAAGAATAATAGATTATTTTTAAATACCTATATTGTACCAATTTTAACTACTCACTAAATTGATGAATTTTTATTTTAAAATTTAGTTTAAAATAAAAAAAAATAAAACTAATGTTAATTCTTTTTATCCATTAAATGGGTATAATTTTCAAAATAACATTCTATACTTACATTTATATCTATTAGACTGATATCTTTAGTGATATGGGTGAAAACTTTACAAAAATGCACAATACTTGGTATCTCCCACCAAGTTTGAATTTCTAAAATGTAATAAATTATTTTTAATACAAAATGATAATACATTTCAAAAAATAATTATAAAAATTTATTAACTTAAATTTTTAAGTACTTAACAAGAGTGTATTTTTACATATTCATTTTTCTAAACTATTTAAGGACTGTTTATATTGATAACATTTTTTTTTTTGAAATGATTATACTTTTTTCATATAAATCACTTTTTTGGACATTTTAATTGTACCATAAATTTTGTGATTATCATAAGAATTATTTAATTTCTTATGTTTTTATTGTCTAACTGAAAAGGATTATGATACATTTGTAATAGTCATATATATATATATTTAAACAAAAAAATAACATGTTTTAAAATTTAAATTCACATTTAAAAAAAACTAAATATTTTAATAATTTTTTAATTTATATTATAATAGATTTATTTGATTTTGAAAACTAAATCAAAATATGGATACGTAATATACAGAAGACCTATGATATTTAGTATAAATTTAATAATACGTCTCAGTATTTTCAGGACACAAAGACGCAAAATTTAACAAAAATGGAGGGAAATTAAGTTACATAGTATATATATTGATATACCTTGGTTTTAGTTGAATTTAAAAACCGTCTTTTTACTTAAAGTTTAGTGAAATGCTTATACTTAAAAATAATTGCGTATTATTAATGATTAAGTAAATTGGAACTTACCGTCCATTATGACTGATGAAATGACGAAATAACGTAAGAATAAAATTGTTGATAAGACTATTTGGTATACTACATAAGCATATTATATAGTTATATTAAAGTCTATATAGTACTTTTATATGGTACCTATATTATTAGCAGCTGCTGCATACTGCATAGTCTACATAATAAATATATACATTTTTAGTTGTCATAATTAGTTATATAAAAACGTGTCACAGTGTCTTACTAATATCTCTCAAATCGTATTATGAAGTTATTTAAAATTTATAAGTAATAAATATAAATTATTGTTTAATTATAAGCGTTCAGCGGAGTCGACTGGTATAATTTTATTATTAACGTATTATGGTGTACAATCGAAAATTATTTCCGAAAATCACTTTTTAGAGCATACAAAATAAAAATTCACATAAATGATAGACGAAGGAAATGAAGAGTAAATTTTTCAATGGATAACAACTAAATCATTAAAGGCCACTGAATCAGACAATGAGCTGTCTATAAACAGTAAACACTAAACTCGTTTAGTTATCCAACCCGTGAAAACCGAACTTTGTATACTGCGTGTAGAAGGAAAAACAGAAGTCTGAACTCTGAAGTACTAGAACTAGAAAATAGACACAACACTAAAGTGTAAAAATAGAGTTCTACAAAAACTAAAAAGTACGAAATTAAATTTTCAACTGACATTAAACAATAAACCATTTAACAACTACGAACGAATCCATTTTGTATTTTTGACTTTTTGTCCGTGAAAACTAAAAACTAAAAAGTCGTTGAAAGCTATCAGTGTGACACCAAAAAGAAAATTAAAAGTTAGAAACTACAGAGATATCAGATGATGCATTTCAGCATTCTGACATCTTGTCCCACCGATAATGTACTATGGTATATTATCATAGTGTATTATCCGTGATTTTGTCTATCGTTCATGTCACACGTTAACAAATCGACGAAGTTGTTCCCGCCCGTCGATTGCTACGTTGCCATTTCTTTCCGATAAAAAGGGTTTCAAAGTTTCAATCAAAATTTCAAATCAGTAGGAAGTAACCACTAACCATCAACAATCAAAAATATAATAATGCATCAGGGTTATTTGTCTTTGGACTCTTTGGAGGGTTGTGAATTGTTATACTGTTATACTATGGCTAAAACTTTATCTTTTTGATATTATTTCAAAAATACCTTTTCTCGTTTATTAGTTGATTTGTAAAAAGAACCTACTTAATACTTTAGTTTCTATGGTATTTACTTACAATAAGTAATTTATATTTTTATATGTTTAAGATTTATTAATTTAAGTCACAGACGTAATACGACTGAGAACTACATAGAAATATTACAGTATATGCCATGATATAATATTAAGAATAATTTATTAATATTTATAACGACTTTGTTTATCAAATAGATAGATAGTGACACTACTGAGTACTGACACTATTTGAATGAAAAAATTGGAGGTTACTAATGTACTATTTAATTATAAAATTACAACCTAGTAGTACAGCGCATGATTTTATTTAAGCAAATCAATTATCGTTTGTTAATTCGATCGACTTAAGACAAAATATATTACTATAATTGTATTAAAGTACGTTAGTTTTATAAAAATAAATGTTTGTTAAAAAATATTAATCAAATGGTACTCATGAAAACCACCATGACGGAAAAGTTTCCAATTTCATTTAGCATACGTAAATATCGCGATTTAAAATATACTTTAATAAGAGTTAAGCAGGTGCAGATATTTTTTAATTGTGGTAAATATTAATTAATTATTATCAGTATTTAAATAACCGCGTTATTCGTGATGAACAGTATTGCCAATCATTCGCTAATTCCGTGTTGGGAATCGATAATTTTCTTCCGCTGGAACTATCGCACTGTATGTCGCCGCAATTGACAACAAAAATTTTCTGCGGGCTGGGCTGCATCCTGCAACTATTAACGGCGGCACAACGCCGTCCCTCGTAAACAACGGAAAACCTCCCCGCGCGGCTTCCAACACCCCCACTACGAAGTTTTTGAACTCTACGCGTGCGCAGTCTACGTGCCGCACGTCTGTGTGTGTGACTGTGTGTCTGCCAACGCCATCGTCGTCGAGGTTCTCTATAGTCCGCTGTCTGGATAGAGTATGACAAAAATGGCCGACGGCGTGGACATCGATCTGTACGCCGACGATTTGGAACAAGACTTCGCCCAGGTAAGATTCTAATACTAATCCACTTGAACTTGTCGTTATTGTTATGTTTGTGTTAAGCGCGCGTGTCTCCCATTACTGATCATACCGAAAGTGCGTCTGCCCGTCGGTAATGGCGGTAGGTTTAGCGTATGTAGCCGGATTCGGCTATTACTTCGAAATATTTGTCTTTCACTTGCAATGTTTTGTGTACTGCCCTTTGCATGAGATCTATATGCGTCATCATTTCACAGTTGCCTTCGTTTTCTCCGCTAACTCGTTCATTTGTTCACCCATTTGCCACTAACCCAGTCATGTCAAACGCGTGTGACATGCCAGATCTCCTGGTAACTGACACATTAGGTCATTTGGCCGTTTCCGATATGTTATCTATTGGTGATTTGACGCTTGTCATCTGTGTCATGGACCACAGTACCACTTAATTCACTTGGGTAGTTAATGGGTTTCCCAAACCTTTCATAATTGATGAATATTGTCACATTTTAATTTGTAAGATGCTAAATGTTTACTCACTAAGTTTTTATATTTTAAATAAGTATGTGATTATAGGTTTTACTACCATACAACTTATACAGCTTAATCATGCAAATCTTATTATTATCTCATATCTATTATGATTTATGCTACTGAATTACTCTTCATATTGTTTAAAGCACTATGTAATTTCTATTATGTATTTGATAATTAATAGAAACGGAAGATTTTTATTTTATAAACATACATTTTGTATAGAAGACTATATAATCACTTGTGTCATAAAAAAGTTAATATTCTTAATTTTATATGTACTTATTAGCCTTATGTCATAATTGAAATTTGTATTTATACAAATGTGTTATAACAACAAAAAAAAAATATGAGTATTTTGATGATAATTGTTCAAATACCATGCATATAATTGTACAATTTTCTTAATAACAAAGCAAAATAATCATTTAATACCTATTTATTTATTTTTTCAACAAAAAATTATATACATTTTATTCTTACGTATACCTTTTTAATTATGTATAATAAATATATAAAAATACAGTTAGGTTCTTGGGTATAATTAAATAAGCTTTGTCAAAGAAGAATATATAGTGTTTTTTTTAAGTCTGAAATAGTATTTGTCAAGTTACATGTTTCATATATTTGAAAAAATCATTTTTCATTTTATGTTTCATGAATGTTATCATGAATCATGATAGATGTGAAAAATATAGTAATTGAGTTACTATATTTTGAAATATATTTATTACCCTTTTAAAGTTAATTTAATGAAAATAATTTTTCTTGATTAATTTATGTGTTAATATCTAAGTCTCTGAAATAACATTAAGTTATTTATGATAATCATATTTATTAGGTATTAAGTTAATTTTTGTTATCTATTAGAATTGGTTAATTAAATATTTGTTACGTATTAGTTACAATAATTTGTAAATTTTAAACATCATTTTATATTGTTATTTTATTGTGTGCAATTTATCATTTCAGGAGGATTTTGCTGGAAATGATAATGTAGATTTGTATGATGATGTCATATCTGGGACAAATGATAGTGCTCAGACAAGACAACCAGTTGATGGACCTCCCAATGCTAATCAAAATAGCACACCATTAGTCACAAATGGTTCGTCTACTAACAGCTCCTCTAATAATAATTCTACTACAGGACGTCGGTACCAATTATATATTGGTAATTTAACATGGGTAAGTAAAATAAGTGTATTTGTCATTTAATCAATTATGGTTTGTGTTTTACAATTGCTTTTTAAGTCTTAATTTATGCATAAATGTATTTTTTAGTGGACAACTGATCAAGATATAACAGACAGTGTTACAAGCATAGGTGTTTCTGATTTTATTGAGGTCAAATTTTTTGAAAATCGAGGAAATGGCCAATCTAAGGGTTTTTGTGTTGTTACATTGGGCTCAGAGCATAGTTTACGAATGGTTATGGATAGACTACCAAAAAAAGAGTTACATGGACAATCACCTGTTGTCACTTTTCCAACTAAACAAGCCCTCTTACAGGTAATTATCTTAAATGTTTGTTTGTTTAATGTTTAAAAATAATATTTATATATGTTTATTTAATAGTTTGAATCACAATCAAAAACTCGACCACTGCCTCCACCTAACAATCAGAACATGCCTTCTATGGGTGGAATGTCTAGAACACCTGGTCAAGTTATGCAGCAACCTATGCGTGGTGGTCCTATGATGTCACAACAACCTATGATGCAACAGCAAGGAATGAGAAACAGAATGCCAATGCAAGGTATGCAACAACCCCCTCAAGGCATGCAGCCACCAATGGGAATGACTAATGGACATAGAATGCCATTGCAATCAGGAGGCCCTATGGGTCCCCATCAACAAGGTCCACCTCCTCCTGGTTACCAAAACCAATGGAATGGACTTAATCAACAAATGGGTAATTATTTAGTTTAAATAAATCTATATTTTATTAATTCATTTAATTATTTTTTTAACTGTTTTGCTATCCAAAACTATTTAGGTCCTCCAAGACCAGGAATGCAACCTCAAGGACCAGTGGGTCAGCCTAGAGGACCACCTCCAGGAATGGTGATTATCATAAATATTCTTATTTATTTTTTAATTTCTATTAATTTATTATTATTTTAGTTTCCGCCAGGCCAAGGTCCACCACGAATGGGCCCACCACAAGGTCCTCAGGGTCCACCAGGACCTGGAGGTCCACGTGGTGATTGGAATCGTCCTCCTGGAATGGCACCACATCAAATGGCTCCCCCAGGTTCTGGTTTTCCTCCGCATCAACAAGGTCCGCCAATGCAAGGACCTCCGCCTGGTCAAGGTAAGTTTTTCAAGTCTCATGTGTTAAAGGTATTAGTATATTGTTATTACTTTTGACATACTTGTATAATTTAAACATATTTTATTAAATTTTAATGTTAATTTTAGGGCCAGTTCAAATGATGCCAGGTGGTCCTGGTCAAGCACCAGCTCCACATGTAAATCCGGCATTCTTCCAACAGCCCAGTGGTGCTCCTCAGGGACCTCCAGGTCATCCAGGATATGGTCCCCCTAATGGACCTTCTTCTCGACCATACATGAATAATGATATGGGAATGTCTGAACAAGAATTGGAAGAAATTATGAGTAGAAATAGAACTGTTTCTAGTTCTGCTATCGCTCGAGCTGTAGCTGATGCTGCTGCTGGTGAATTCTCAAATGCTATTGAAACTTTGGTTACAGCAATATCATTGATAAAACAATCTAAGGTTGCTAGTGATGAACGCTGCAAAATATTAGTGAGTTCTTTGCACGATACATTACATGGAATTGAAAGCAAGAGTTACAGTTCAAGAAGAGGTAACTAATAAGTGATTTCTCATTTTTAGTAGATAAATTCTATTGCGTATATATTTTTATTTAGAGAGGTCTAGATCACCTCGTGACAGATTGCATAGAAGATCAAGGCGTGAGCGTACTAGATCCCGTGAACGTGACTATAGAGACAGAAGTCGTGAACGAGATCGTGATAGGGAAAGAGATCGTGACAAGTACGTTGTAGCTTTTTTGTATTATTTAGTTATGACAAGTCTATAGCTTTTTATTATTTTAAATTAACTGTTATTATGTGATCTAAACTCAACCTTGTTTTTAATAATAATTTTAAGATAATTTAGATTATTATTTTTGTTAATACAACTATAATGAATATTGAATATCTTACATCATCCTCTAATTAAAGGCTATATATAAAAAAAAAAAAAAAATATTAAGTTGCCATAACATAGATGTGTTAACAGGTACGTTGACCGTTATTATACATCAGAACGAGACAGTGACAGAGATAGGGATAGAGAAAGGGATCGCGAATACAGAGAGAGAAGTCGGGAAGACAGGTAAGATTCTTGAATTAATTTTAAAATTCATGAAAAATTCTTCTTGGAAGTATTTGCACTTTTTAAGTATCCATACTTGTTGAGGGTAAAGTTTATTGTTTAACAGTTCTGTAAAAGCAAGCAGCCGAAGTAGGAAAATCACTCCGCCTGACGTTACCGAGTCTGTTCCTGTATCCTCTAAATCCAGGTAATATCACTCAATCTTCATTTCCTTTCATCAAGTTTCCTAAAAATAATAAGAATAAAAAAAAATAAGTTAATAATAATAATCTATAGACTTGTTTGTGAATTATACTATACATATGTTGTTACATTTTTCAAATTGTTTATTACTTTAGGTATTATGATGATCGTTATCGAGAACGTGAACGCGATAGAGATAGAGAACGTGATCGAGAACGTGAACGCGAACGAGAACCAACCTCTAGTAGGAGAGCAGTAGATGCGGACAGAGATATTGAACGTGATCGAGACCGTAGAGAAGACCGAGCTGAATCTTCACATCGTAGTTCTAGACATTAATACATCTATGGTAAGTATTTTTTATTGTAAGTATTGTAAACTAGACAACTGATGTTTTATTTAGATTGTTAAATTTTAGCATAGATAATATAAATTTCACAATCCTTTTTTTAAATTTTTATTAGTTTATTTTTAGTTTTTAATTTAATTTTAGTTTTTGTTTTGTTTGATGGTCTTTCCTTAATTCATACATTCAATTATGTTAATATTTATTAATTTAAAAAAAGAGAACTTAAATAATATTAAGAAAAGGCTGATTCAATTTTCTTTTTATACATTTCAATAACAATTGAATATAGCCTTTTTAACCAATTGCTGTGATAAATGAGCTGTGATAAAAATAACATATTTAATATGTAACATTAAATACAATTTTGTATTTAATAATAGTGTATCTGTGAAAAAATAATTTTTGTATTAGGAATATGTGTTAAGCTTTTTAAAACACAAGTGAATTAGGTATATTTAAGAATTTTTGCATGCATTTTTGTTAAACTTAAACCAAGCATAGATTAAGATTTATACATATATAAGTGTTTACTTTTAAAATTGATAGTACAAATATGATTACATTATGTTTTTATGATTATTTTTTACAAAATAGTATTTTTTAACCAATCATTAACTGATGGATATCATAAAGGGTATATAATTTGGTATTTATATAATTTTTTTTATCTAGTGTTATAATTTATAATTTTCTACATAATTTTATTCTTCGAGTTTCTATTATGTGCTACCTACCCACATTAGGTTTTTAAAAGCTTCGTTTATGTTATAATTGCCTAGTTTGAATTATATTTGTTACAATTGGTTAACATAATTAGTATTTATTTTTAAAGTTGTCTGTATAAAAATACATGGTAAACGAAGCTTTTTGTGTATTATAATTTTCTATAATTAAATCAATATTTTTATGATTTAGTTTTTTCTACAAGTGTTAAGTGCATAGTAAAGTATTTGATTTTGTATTGAATGTTTCAAAATTTAAAAATAATATTTTGATTGTTAATTCTAAGAATTACATTTAATTGATTACGGTTTTAGGCGCTTAAAATATTATTTCTGTCATCAAACGTTTTTTGATGTTTTAAAAGTTCAGTCCATAGTAAATTTTCTATTTTTCATTCGTGCAATAATATAATAAATATGTATAAAAATTACTTTATGTACATAATCTCATGTGATTGATATCTATTATTTTTGTTACTAGTCAATATAGAAATGTAAAAAACCTATTTATTTATTTTTATTTATTTATTTATTTATTTTTTTGTCAGATTACCTTTATTTACACAGTTTGATAATATATTGGTAATGAATTATTTTGAAATTGAAAGATTTTTCTATCCATATTAGTTTTCAAACTATGTATTAGAAATATTTGGAGGGAAACTTAGAAAAGAGTAAATTTATTAAAATGTATTATTTTGGTGTATCCTTAGAGGTATTGACAGTATGGTATATTTTCCAATTAGTGCTGGACTAAAAAATTTGCAAGTGTTAAGGATTAAGATATTTTAATCAAATATTATCTAAATGATTTACTATATATTTGACTTAATTGTAAATTATTATTCCAACTACTAAGTTGACTAATTGTGGTTATGTAATAAATGATAACAATTTTTATTCTGTGTCGAGGTATAAAATACAAGTTATTACTTATTACTATTTCTTAAAATTATAGTTATTTTTTAAAACAAAATACTTCTTTTATACATTCAGATTAGAATTAATTATTTTTTTTATATTTATCAAAAGTGATATGTCTCAATTCATTTTAAAACAAACCAAACAGGAACAACCATATTAATTATTATCATGTATATTACTCATAACTAACCTAAGAAAGATAACTGGTATTTTTTGGCTCAGATAATTAAATCAGAGCAGTCCACAAAACTTTTTTAAATTAAAACAAATTGGGGCGTTTGCTTTAAATAATGAAGTACGAAGTTATAAGTCATAAATTAATTTGAAACTTGTTGTTTCGTATTAAATACAGTAATGTAATAATTCTTATATCTAAAAATTTATTAATATGGTTATTTCAAAGATATTACTAATAAGGTATTACAATATTTTATATTTAATAATTTAGCTTCTGTGAAGCAATTCATTTTTAAATTTTAATTATTTTATTAGAATGTGTATTATAATTTTTTTAATTATAAAGCAATAAACAAAAAATTCTAACTTATCTTCGTTTAATAAATTTTATAGACAAACTTTACTTAATTTTAATGAAATAAATATCTTCACAAGTGCAATTTAATCAATACAAGCAATTGAAATTATATTTTAAAGCATTTGTTTTGAAAGAAGCATTAGAAAATATTTCTATATAAATGTCTATTATGGGTATGCATCAACAAAAACCTTATTCTTGATAAGTATTTTTTATGAAAGCTAACTATAGTGTTAATACTTTTTATCAATATCAACAATATATTTTTTTGGTTACTTTTATTGTTATTAAAATTATACAGTTAAACTTCTGTATAACCGTCATCAAAGAGACCAGAAGTAATGATAAATATTTAAAAGTGGTTTTTATATAGAGGTAACTGTCAACAGAAGTAGATTACTTCCAGATAACTGCTTTTATAGAGTACATGAAAATTATAAACATCTGTGTACTATTTTATCAAAATTACACAAACCTATTCATATCATACAATATCATATTCATATATTAGATTTTATGGTTTTTATTTCATCTTTGCTGTTGGATTTCCATATTTAAGTATTATATTTATATATATTTTGAGATTGGTGGCTTAAATTTTTGTTTTGTTAAAATTAATCTGCCATGACATGACAAATGTGCTCATATTTTTTCCTCTCAAAATTCTTACAATATGATTATTTGTCTATTGTTTTATTGTCATTGTATACACTTAGAAGCTTTTTAAATTGATAAGAAACACTAATGATACATAAGAAAATATTCAAATTTGTTGTGTTGGTTGTATTATTAACTATTGTATTAGTTTGATAACTAACTGCTATAAATAATTTAAAATAATTGAACATTTTTCTATTTTGGAAATTATAATAAGATTGTTAAGAAGTTACCATTATATAAAGGTAGTAATGCATTTTTCACATAATGCTTGTTAGGATAATAAAAAAATTACCATAACATACAGGAGAGAGTTGTTGAATATCTTACTGTAATTGTCGACATGTTACTGAAGCAGGAATGATTATTTAATATTTTTCTTTTAGGTTTTAAGTTTAATTCAGTTAAATAACTTTTGGGAAATCTATTTTAATAACAGTTAAAATAAGCAATTGACAAATGCTAAATCCCTAGTATATTTGGTTATTTTTTTATAAATCTTTTTATATATTTATAGTTTTCACAACTATCACAGTATTATATTTTCTACAAGTAAATTATTTAAATGAATCAATAGTATAAACTCATTTTTGATTTATTTGGTAGTAGTTAAATGACCATGTAGTTACATTTATAATATGTAAAACAATTACTTATCAAAAGCTAAGAACTTAATAGTCAACATGACACCTGAACAGTTTTCAATTTCCTAGTATTCAGTCGTTTTGCTTTGTTATATATTGCTTAAAGTATATCTATTAATCAATAATTAAATAAGTTACTAATTTCTAGTTTTTAAGTTATTGCTCGATAGAAACCTATTAAAAAAATTTACATTAAGGTAGTGTAAGTTAAAAATATTATTAAATACAATTATATTTGTATTTATAAATCTATAATTTATTTTTATATTCCCAGAGATAATATAATAGTTTTTTTTATGGTAAATAATTTATAGTTCTGATCTTTTTAAACTAATTGAAATAATTTTTTATGATGAATACAAAACATTGTTCAATATGTGTTAATTATTAAATATGTTTAAACTATTGGATTGAATGTTACTGTGGTCAAATATTTAATATTAATGATTTTTGGGCTTTATAATAATTATTATTTTTAATAAAATTAAATGTAATATATACATCATCTAAGTAGTTTTTCTGATTGTGTATATCAAAAATATCAAATAAGCAAAACAATTTCCCAGAGAGTATGTTGTAGAAATTGGTTTATTTTTAATTTAGATTCTTAAAAATTTTACAGCAATTATTGAAAAAAAATATTTGAATACAATTATAAATTAGTGGCCTGGTATGGCATGGTGGTTGGTCTCTGTCACTAATGTGTTCCGAAGTCAAGCATCTACCGGTGTCGCTAGCTCTTGGATGGTTGATCACTTGAGCTTTTAGTGACGAATCCATGGCATACATTTTTATACCCATGTGTTTCAATCCTACTAACCAAACCTTATATAAAATACCTGCTATTCCTATGCACAGCTAATGGCCTTAGTTGCCAGGCTTAAATAAAATCAATATAAAAAAATAATTATGATATTGCACAATATTTTATTGTAAATATTCTTATGCTTTTTTGGTTTATGATGTTAATTTTTCCTGAACCTAGAATTACTTATTATTTGAGAAATAAAAAATGATAATCAAAGTGTATGAAACATTTAGTAGCTATGTGTTGTAACAGAAATAAGTTGGTTACCACTGATCATGTCTATTTAAGTATTGATTTATCATTTAAGTACAGTACCATTGAAATTTTTTAATAATTTTTTATGATACATTTATGTCAAATGATATATTTCACCTTAATTCTGAAATTTGTTGAAAAATATATTTGGGTATATTTAAAAAACTAGTTGTTAACTATTTACAAATTTAATTTTAAGTATATTTAAATAGCTTTAAAAGTAGTATTTGTGTTTTAAACCAATTGTATTTTTACAATTATATATTAATAAATTTAATTCACTAAATAAGTTAAGTCTTAAATTGTATTCTCAATCATATAACTTTGATATTGTTAATATAAACCCTTATATTTTATAATTAGGCTCATTTGAGTTATTAATAAATAGCTAAGTAATAAGAAGATATAGGTGCATTACCACTTAAGTTTCTTTTAAGTTACTATGCAATAATACCTAATAACTAGGAGTATTTACTTTTATCCTTAAAGTTATAAATAAGTAATTCCTAACAGAAATGAAGCAAATTTCTAAAATATATCAAAATAATAATTGAAATATTATCTATGTATATAATTTATGGTTTTGCACTACTGTATATTGGTTAAAATGTCTGCATTTTTGCATATCATCATATATATTATAATAAAATAGAAAATAAATGTTATTAATATTTGATAGATAAAAATATGTATTTATTACTTTTAAATTAAGTATTAATTTACATTAAATTTTTTTATTTTATACTACAAATATAATTCTGACATTTAAGTTTTGTTATAATACAATTATGTAATAGTTAAACTTTCTTAACATAAATGAATGATTCACTAATTAAATACCATATATCTTTTCCCAGAATAGAAAAAAATGAGTTGTTTTTTTTTATAATAACAATTTAATGAAATTTAAGATTTTTAAATAATGTTTAAGTTAGTATTTAAGAGTGAGACCATCTGTGCGCGTTTGCTGTCTGCCTAGAAAATGTCCATCAATCATTAAGCAGCCGTTTAAAATGACCATCATCAACAATAACTACTGAGAAAATTCATCAATGCATTGTTTTTAATTTGTTTACAGGCGCCGCTGATCCATCCATTTATATTATATAAATACAAGTTTGCGCAAGACTGTATCTTTGAAATTTATGTATCCATTTTGTAGATTGTACAAATATCATGGACATATTTAATAATGTATTTTTAAGATATCAATCTTTTATTTTTATTTATGTGCTGGTGGTATAAAATACATATTAATAATAATAATGAACATTTTAATGTAATTTTTTTTTTTCTAGTTTTCAGTTTTAAGTTTTTACTTAAAATGTGTCATTATTCTGTCTGTATCACACCTTTATTGTACCTATAATTGTTATGATTGATATTTAATAATAGTGCATTGCGACAGCTTATGACATCTGGATCTTGGAACTCAACACAATTTAGACTAGATTATTTAGGTACCTAATTTTTGTATTACACATTACATAATTATATATTATTTTTTTTTATGCTTAAATCATTAAGCATTTTCTTTTATAATGGTAATAATAAAAATATTTATCATACTAAATCTATTTAATACATTTAGTCTAATAATAAAACATATGTATTAGATTTAAGGTGAATTTTTATTTTTTCATTTTCTGCCCTTTTCGTCATTATTGCCTTTCATCTGTGTATATATATATATATATATTTTTTAATTTATTTTTTTTTTTTACTTGTACTGTTTTGTCAAGACCCATATTTAAAAAAAACAAACTAAAATCTGTTTTAAAATTTTATTACTTATATTTGTTTTAATGAAATATAATTGTAATCATTGTGTATGTAGGTCTAAATTATTATTTTTTTATTTTAAATGGTAATAAAAATGAGCTGAAAAGAATTGGTTACAACTATTTGTTATGTAAGTAAATCATAGTTGAAGAATTTGTCATGGCATTATGTTTATTGTAGGTAGGTCTACAATTGTTGGTTTAAAGTGCAAATTTTTTATGTTAGAAAATTGTATCTCAACTAAAAATCAATGTGATTATTAATCTTCGTGTGCTCATTATGTGTTGCTTAACGTCGGAAGAAACTAACCTTTATCGAATGATCAATGATTTATTACTGTTGAATAAAAGGAAAAAAAAATTTTCGACTTGAATTCTTTTTTTCTTGACAATTGATGGTAGACAAGTTTTAGGTATATTATTTAATTTCATTAAAGTTTTATTGTTTTTTTTTTTTTTTTTTTTTAATTATTTAGTCTAAAGAGTAGGCAATTAGCGTGTAGTATGTACGCAGTCATACCTATGAAATATGTACTGTTCATATAAGAATTAATGTTAGTGGATGTTCTTAAATAATCGCGCGCCAAGTAGACTGGTCAAAGATATTATATACTATTCTTGAAATCTGATTGGTCCGCCTGTTGATAATGTGTAATCCATTGATATTGTTTCCAAATTTACATTATACAATATTATAAGGGCATAGCAATTTGTTGCGGTGTACACCACAATGCATTATTATTATTATTATTAATATTGTCATTTGTCACTGTTTAGATAAATTACACGTAAGTTCGACGATCGGTACACACGCGCTACGCATTTCGCACGTTGAAGTTCAGTATAACATCGTTAGAGCCGTGCGTAGGACGAAAATGTGAATAATTCTAAAAAATACCGATTATAATATCAGGAATATTTTTCAAATTTCTTGTTCTCTCAGCCGCGCACTACCGGTGTTTTTCCGAAACCATGAAATAACGCGTGCGTCCCCGTGTTTGCGGTGCACCTAATACGTATTATTGATATATTGTTTCATAAATAATATTGTAAAATGTCTGGTTAGTGAAACGTTGTTATTTATTTTCTTGTTGCGAGTTAAGCGATTGATTGATGCAGTATAGTGCAACTATGTTTTTAGGCCGCAATAATAGGAGACCACCGCTGAAGGTTCAGATACTTGATGAGCCGCCTGTCGTGTAAGCACATAAACATGATTAATAATTATGCTATACCTACTTAATATATTATTATTTTACTACACAAATCACTTTCCGATTTTCATGGTTATCTGTTAAATGCGATATTACTATTTAATTTTCTTCCCTATAGTAACCTGCCTCGAAACCTGGACAGGTCCACCACTATTACGATTGGTGACCAGGAAACTACAGTCGAGGCAAATGACCTACAGAGAATTTGTGATCTCGGACGTGGTGCCTATGGTATTGTGGAAAAAATGCGGCACATACCTTCTGGCACAATTATGGCTGTAAAGGTGACTATAGTATATTCGATGATCAATGTGAGTACTGTTTTTTTACTATTTTGTTTTTTTCTCACCTTTCTAGAGGATAGCAGCTACAGTGAATACCCAAGAGCAGAAACGACTTTTAATGGATCTAGATATATCTATGCGTTCGTCAGCTTGTCCATATACAGTGCAGTTTTATGGTGCACTATTCATGGAGGGTGATGTATGGATATGCATGGAAGTAATGGATACTTCATTAGACAAGTTCTATGCTAAAGTGTACAAGTTTGGACGGAGGATTTCAGAACAAATTCTTGGACCTATCACTGTGGCGGTAATAATTTGTTTTTAATAAATTTTACAATAATTGATGATACAGTTTAGAAGTGACAAAAATAAAAAAATTTTGTTCTGTATGTATTTTTTATTTCTTTAGACATGTTTTAACTAAACTCAAAATTAATCTTATTAATTTAGTTATCCAATAACAAACACACGCCTTTAAATACTAAACTCCTAATTTATATATCCCTGTTTAAACCAATGTAAACTTATGGCCTTCAGCTTTGGGGCAATGCCAAAAAATCCAACATCGATAAAATTCAAACTTTCCAAAATAATATCCTTCCAAAAATCACCAATTCTTTATAACTCCAATCTAAAAATTATAATAGTCCACAAAGAAACTGTAACTTTTTACAAACTATTCTACTCCAAACTTCTTTTATATATCAAACCTTGCCACTTTTACAATTCCTGGAAACCCCCCTAGAAGACTCAATAGCAATTATTGGTGTTAAGACCTCCTTGACTTATAAAGAAAAATATACATAAAAACAAAAAATTTAAAATACTGAGCAAGGGTAGTGTTACCAGTGAGTGACTTATCTCATCAAATTATTCATGTAAATTATCTATTATCACATATTCTTATTATTTCTAAAGGAATAAATTATATATACTGAACAAAAACAAAAAATTTAATTTTAATTATACATCTATCTATGTCTTATAATGTTAAGTTTATTTTAATAATAATTAGTATTATTATAAGTTTGGTTCATACTTCTTCACATTATTCATTTACTATTCGTAAACAATAAATTAATTTATGTTTTAAATAATTTTTAATTTTTCTAGGTTGTTAGCGCTCTTCATTATCTGCATTCTCAATTGAGAGTTATACATCGTGATGTAAAGCCATCAAATATTTTAATCAGTCGTAATGGAAATGTAAAAATGTGCGATTTTGGTATATCTGGATATCTTGTTGATTCTGTGGCTAAGACTATTGATGCAGGATGTAAACCGTACATGGCGGTAATTACATTTATTGCATTATTACTATTAAATAGTGCTTTGATTTATGATTTAATATTTTTTGTGCGTAGCCTGAACGAATAGATCCCGATGGAAATCCATCCAATTATGATATACGAAGTGATATATGGAGCTTAGGAATATCTCTTGTGGAACTTGCCACTGGTAAGTTTCCATACGATACATGGGGCAATCCTTTTGAGCAACTCAAACAAGTGGTCAATGACGAACCACCGAGGCTATCTTCTGGTATTTTCACATCATACTTTGAGGATTTTATTTGTCAATGGTAAGTGTTGCTGATAATTTATTATTCATTCTAATTGGATATTTATTGAGTTTAATTGATTTGAAATATGTTTTCATGGGTTTTTATTTTTTCAGCTTACAGAAAAATTTTCGGAGTCGACCAAATTACTCCCAACTACTTGCCCATCCATTTTGTCTTGCTCACCAACAACCGCAGACAGCTTTAGTTGCATCATTTGTGTCTGAAATTTTAGACTTGCCTGATATGCCTGTTTCAGGTTAAATTATCAGCAATTAATTCACTAACAATAATATATTTATAACAGTATTTGTAATATTGTATATAAACTATAATTCAATATAAGTTTATTTTACATAATAATTACAATATTATTAACAACTTTTATATTGGTAAATTTTCTATTTACCAATAAGTCATAAGAATTAATATAATGTCGAAGATAGTTTACTAAAGTATTTTTAATTATTATTTGTATGATATTAGTTGTAATGAATGATTTGTGTTTTAGAAGATCTTGGTTTATAGATTTTTGTTTTTTGTTTTATTTTGTTTTTATATAATTGCATCAATTCTTAAAATCTAAGGATTACTCGACTAATATTTTTAGTACTTAGCACATTACTATCTAACTGTTAGTTTTGTTTTTATGTTCCATAGTGTTTTCATGTGATAATGTTAAAGAAGCAAATCAAAAATCTATATCTGTTTATATTTTACCATATTAGTGCAATATATCTGCTCTCGCATATTTTATTTTTGAACTTTTTTTATCTATTAATTAATTTGATAATTGTTGCTGTCATAAATTTTCTTGAGTTTTGATAGCTAATGTCTATAATTATCTACCTTAAAGTACGATAAGGTAAGCTTAAAAGTTAAAGCTACCCTCAAAAGGAGTAGAATTTCACAGCATATTACAGTACCTAGTCATATTATTAGTAATATTATATCATGTGCATCATAGTTAAACTATTAAAATTAAACATATAATATTGCATTCCAATTTTTAATCCTTTTCTGTTAGTGTTGAGGATTAAATGGTTTTCAAATTAAAGTCACTGATATGATTATTATTTTGTTTTGGGGGTAAGTATATGTCTTTATTCAGAGCTCATTGACTGAGGGGGCTATATTATTATTACTACCAAGATGCTTTAAATTTAAAAACTTAACAATGGTGAATGACTGAAATATGGGCAAGCTCATTTATCATAATTTAATATTATAGTAGTTATTATTTATCTCAAGATTAAATTTATAAAAAAAAATAAGATTTTACTGTTAATTTGTCAATGAATTTATTTTATTTATAACCAACTAATAATATACAAATTACAAATATTCTTTATTTATTTCAATACTAAAAACAAATTTATTAAGTTGGGTATCTTCACCTTTTTTTAAAATTTAAAATCAACTCTTCTATTTCATAAAAGAATATATTTATAGTACTAAACAGTATTTAAAATAGCAAAACAAATCAAAATGAAAAAAAATCATACACCTGAACATAAGTAATACAAAACTGATGAAGTGCAATTGAATTAGCATAAATACATTTTTGTAAATTAAAACTATATTATATTTTTATTTTATTAGAAAATATTTTGTTATTTTTTAAGACATAATATTCAGTATTTTAAGAATTTTTTAGTGCTATAAAATCTGAGCTCTGGTTTCAATATTAATAAAAACTTTATAAGTATTCTGCAGGTAGTAAATTACCAAGATAGTTAATTATTATGACGTTTAGACTTTAGGCAACTCTGTATTTAACTGAAGATGTATAATTCACCTACATACGTAAGATATTAAAACTTTAGGTTTTGTAACTTAAACTAAAAAAAAATGTTAACAGTTATTAAAATAACCGCGAGTATTTCTATAAGTTTATGACTATGTATTATATATTTCGGAAAATATTTGTTTTATGTTTTACTCGGCAGACATATTTGTAATTATTATTTAAATAATAATATAGTTAGTATTAACACACTTAATAAACAGACGAGGTGTGATAAAAATAAATATGACAAAATTTCTAAGGTTAAATATTGGTTTACTAAAAATGGTTGTAAATGCAGAGTATACCCAACTAATTTTTAAATTAACAATAAAATTTCAAAATATCTTTTTTAATTTAATTTTAAAGAATTAGTCGAATGAAGTAAATTAATAGTTTAATATTGAAACTAATGTTTCTATGAAAATTCTAAAATTGTTAAATACTTATAAAAAAAAAAAAAAGACTTACAACGTTAAAATCTATTTATTCTGTTAATCTTTTTGAAGAATTGCATTATTTATATTGTGTATTATGAGTATATGATATGTACGTACTAATTATTAATATGTACGTAATTCAAACGTCGACAAAGTTAGAAACGTTTTATTCTATAGAAATGTGTTTGGTAGGTTAAACATACCGTTGTTTAATATAGAAACCGGTGTTTGATTAAGAACCATTTTTTATTGTAGTATTGATGTGTTAGAAACTTGAGGCAAAATAAAAAAAAAAAAACTTTAAATTCGTGTCTGAAACTATAATGAAATACATTTCGTGGTTAAATCTACGACAAATGCTTGTACGTATTATATTTTGCACGACATACCGTATAAATGTAATATTACAAAATATTAACGTTTGATGATTGAATTTACGTCGTTTTATTTTGAATTGGAAACAGTGTCGATTGAATAAAGATAGTAGGTACTATTTAAACTCAACGAGTGATTATAAATAATTATAGGTAATATATAATATTATAATGCCTACCACATTCAATCGTTATACACGCATCGACGAAAATAATTTGCTTATAAATTTATTAAACTTATGTTTCCGCATGATTATATTAGGTATAGGTTTTTTATAGGTCACCACCTGCGCGGAACAGATTAACTATGTTATTATTGGAATAAAATTGTGCTTAGATGATTATACAGTATTATTTCATTTTATTCGAATAAAAAACAGTTTCAATGGTTTTCAAATACAATTATTCATCAAATTTTAAACAAAGTTATTCCTATTGTTATCGGTTATTTTCTTTGATTTAAGATTAAATATAATATTATGGTTTGTAATTTTAAAAACAATGAGCTGTTGGCTTTGTATTTTAAGTCACACGGCTAAAAATTAATTATTTAGATATAACTGTATCTATCGCTGGCGTGGAATAGCGCTCACAAATATTTTTATTATGTCTTGAAAGCTTTAGATGGCACTATGGTAGCTTGGCAGACATTTAAGGAGGGAGACTACATTTATCACAATTTGTGAAAAAGTGCAAATATTAGGGTTCAAAAGACAACTTCTTATTTTACTTGATATTTTAAGCTTAACATTTTCTTAATTAAAAAAAAAAAAGTATTGTGTATTTCAAAATGTATTAAGAATTAACATATCTACGTCCACTAACATATCCACTAATCTACTTTAATTGTACCTTTTACTTTTATTGTGGAAAGTAAAATAAATCAAAACGGCATAAACATAGTCCATAGATAATTCAACGATTAATTTAAAATATATTTTTATTTTTTATATTACTGTTATGTTATAATATCATTAATAGATATTTAATATTTTAATTTGTTTAAAAAAAAAAAAATTATACATAAACTATTTTGTCTATTTTAGGTGCGGGAAGGAAAACTGTGTTTTAATTTTGATCAATTATCAGAATTTCGGATTTATTTTACAAAAGAAATTAAATGATGAATGAAATTTTAATGATTATTATTGTAGTAATCTTATAAGGAAACTTAAATAATCTTAAAATAATTATGTCTGCTTACACAATATATTATTACGTGTTATAAAATGTACCTATCAGTTTGAACAAATGTTTGTATAAATCGACCGTATTTTAGGTCACCTTTCCCCTTAAAAATAAAACTGGCGTTTCTCTCCCACCATTGTTTCTCAGTTTTTAAAGCGTCGACCATTCTTTGGTTCTTATAGTCTATAGGTACATAGTACTGTGTAGGTATTTATACTATATATGTCCATACCTATGTAAATACTATAGGTATACATGAAATACATTTTTTTCACCTTACCATTTTTTAACCATACTCTGTATGGTATATTGTATTGGTTCAATAGGCGTATACGATATTTAATTGGAGGATTAGAATTCTTGTAAGACTAGCAGAGTTTCGAATGGCGAAGGAGAGATAATAGGGGATGGTAATCGGGTAACACGACTTGCATAGCTTAATCCACGGATCAAATTAAATAACAGACGAAAGCAAAAAAAAAATAAATTAATAATAAACAAAATTAGAAATATTTCTAGAATCAAACAAAAAGTAAACCAAAAATAATACTATCTTATACGAACGGTTGGTCCGAACGTTACACGTTTTACATTGGTATTAAACGCCGTGTTAACTGCATAATATCCTTTTCGACATCGATTATTCACCATGTCGATTATTTCTCAGAAATGTTTGCCAATAATTTAGTAACACCCAGCGGGGTTCGGAAGTCGCTGCAATTTTATCTCTGTTGGGCGTTGGCACTATTCGGTCGTTTATTTGCCGTAAGTACTAAGTAGTATTTGTTTTAATCTACTTCAGCTCTGATTGTCCCTCTGTCATAGCCATCGTGTCGATTTAAAAAAGGTATAGAATAAAAACCTTTTTTTTTCTATTTATTTCGACTATTACGTTGTCTCTGAAATACCTCTCCGTGTTTAAAAAAAAAAAAAAAAAAAAAAAAAAAACGTGGCAATCTCATGAGCTCATTATATCTATAATAATTAATAACACATGAAACGTTACCGTCGATTAGTTATTAGTTAACAATAATTAATAGTATCAATTTAAAGTATGATAGCTGTTAGTGCATATAATTATTATGATATTTTTTTTTTCATAATACCGAATCAGCCGCACGGCTCGAACCATAATCCGGGCTTGGGTCCAGGTTTTCCAGGTCTCGGTGTAGTACTGCATATATAAATATATTATCTTAATTTCACACAAGTGTCATTTAATCTGTAAATCGTAATTGTACAATGTATTTTATGATCTTTGTATACTTGCACCGATGCCAAATTCATTTTGTCCGTTATAATCTATTGACGTTGAAGTGGAGGAGTAATAATGTTTATTATGCAATGCAATTTCTGATAATTCGGAAGTAATGGTGTGGAGCCAAAAACGAATTAAATATTATTTTTTACAACTGTTCAAAATGGTAACGGTCGTACAGATACTATAAGCCATCTTGTTTTTGTGATAGATATTGA